AGGAATATTCCTGTTAGCTGCTGCTGCTTCAAAGACACGATTTTGAATTTTTCATAAAAATTCTACTTATATTCTGTGAACATAAGGAAAATCAAAAGCTTTGTGCTCCGTTTTCCTGTAAAAAATGCATCTTATAAGATTTTTTAACTGATTTTCGCTGATTTACGCGTTAACCATACCCATCAATCAAACTTGACACGACAAAAATTGGAGTGACATCAGGCGCAAATAGCTACTAGATCAAAGAAGCAGGCAGTTTATCAGCGACTATTCCACTCTTGATCTCGAGAACCAATCAGAATCGACCATTTTCACGATTTCTTCTGTATTCTAGCGATATTTTTTGTTTATTAAATATTATCGGACTTGCTCTACCAATAACGAAGGCGAATTGACCCACACGTGACCAACAAACCTCGTTTATCAGCGATAAAATTTTGACATCGTATCTGGTCAAGATTGCTTTGGATTCATATCTGAGACAATAACCTAAGTACCTACTTTATTTTTTTAACTTATAATTCGCGTTAGTGAGACATTTTGTGTGAAAGGCGAGACAATTTTATTCTGGCTGGACGTTTCATGTGTAATTCAAAAAGTTTGCATATTTGTTGACGGTCTGACACAACAAAACTAAAATTCAAATTCCTTTTTAAAGTAATCTCCTTCAATCACTCAAGTTATTGTGACTAATACAATAACCAGATGATGTAGCTCAACTGATAGGGATACGAAGGTCGATGGTTCGAGTCCCTCGGCGACGATATCTTTTTTTTATTATTATTATTTGATGTCACATAAATTCAATTTATTTTGTTTGAATTGGATAGCAATTGTATACACTCTTTTGAGAGCAACCATCTCCAAGATAATAAAAAAATACTTACTGTTTATCAAAATTGTACATTCCATTTTGTGAATAACTATAAGTAGGTAGGTAGTTAATTTCTAAAAAAATGAATTCTGTATTTCATTACTATCATTATGTTCTTCTTCGCAGTTTGAGTTGGAATATACTTAAATTATGTTTCCTATTTCTTATATCATTCAATCATGAACTAGTCATACGAATACAACTCGTGATACTATTTTTCCTGGAAATATTCGTCGATTGACATACTCCAGCTTGCTGCTCTAATTTCGCTCATGACATTGATCCAAAACTACTCGCCTACGGCTCGTAGTTTAGATAACAATGTCATTCACAAAATTACTAGGCAACAAGCTGTCGTAACAATCACCGAATATTTCCGGCAAAATATTATCACTTGTGGTATTACATATGATATAATAGGTTCCTTTTTTATCGATGTCAAAATGACTCACGTCGTCGTCAAATAGAGTTTTCCGTGTAGATTTATCATATCAAAATGTTGTTACATGCATTCTTCTCATTTTTATAACTGTTGTTCTGCGAAATTTGCCCTATTGCTATAAATTGAATAGTGGGTCGTGTTAATACCCTCTATTTTTATTTTCCATCTACGGCTATGATTTGACAGAAAATGTATTCTCTACAATCGTATCTGACAATCAGGCGCTATTAGGGAAATTGAGAAGACAAAGTGACAAAGAGCAGAATATATGTCTTATTCTTTTATTCACTTAAGCATTGTAATTTAGAAAATAGAAAAGGACAGAAGTTCAGCTGTGTCCGAACTCTTATCTACTAACACCATCCAGTGACTCTAATATCTAATAATCAAATCACAGCAACAAGAACATACCACACAGATGAATAGATTTGGTCCACCCGGTATACGCCTTTGTCGCAGACAACATCTGCACAACGAGATACACACGATCGAGATGATCAAGCGAGAATGCCGTTCATCAATTTCTCTGCCGAAGAATTTACTACTTTGCTCCGAGCGAAAAATTCATTTGGATCGGCCGCTATTATTACCAATTCACTTGTAATAATTGCTGACCCTAACAAGGAAAATAATATCGGGAATGCGAGCCTTAGGAAATGATTCAATTTGAGAACGATAGAAATAACTCTTCAGTGGCGGATTTATACCGGTACGCTCAGTATGCTTAAGCATACCTACAGTAATAGTAAGGGCATAGGTAAGGGTCTATACTGTGGTTTGCTCTTTGGAAAATCTGTTCTGTAGCCGCATTATAGTGATTCTTACAAATATAAATAATTTTTCAAACATAAAACCACCTGACGAACAAAAATGCATCGTCTGATGTTATAAAAATGTTTCGGGTAGTTTTAGGTGACTTTGAAATTGAAGTGGATCATAAAATTCAATATTGTTGAGCGATGAATAATCTACTGACCTCTCATATTGATGGAATAAATAGTCACTGCTACTAAAATTGATGGAGCTAGTGCCATCATGAATGTCAGATTCATCAGATGAAGAATAAAAAAAAATCAGAAGTATCAACAACTAGAACGAGATCATCCTTACTTCTTAACTAAACCAGAACATACATAAAACTTGACTTAAATAAATCTATTATTTCCATAGGAAGTAAGGAATGCTCTAAGTCATCTCCACTAATTTTAATGGTGTTGTTACACAATCATAAGGGACATGTTTTGGTCTTATAAAAGACCATCTTCAGCCTAATTGAAAGTTCTACAATACAAAACGATTGATGTGAAAGAATTACATAATTTGTTCTTGACTTACTTGGAGTTGGAAAAATGTGATGCTACTAATTGTGGATATGTTGTCAATGCCCATAAGTAGTCGAAAAATCGAGTTTATAAATGAAAAACGGGTTCTCAATAAATGACATAACTGCATGAAGGACCCCGTGCCCTGAGAGCGCATACCATTCATCTCATTGAAATATCATATACCAAAATGGTATATGGAGGGTAATTGCCAAAAGGTTTGGTTTTTGACACCATAAATTAACGGGTTTTTTAAAAAAGGGGCTCCCCGTGCCCTTATGAAAGCGCTACTAAAACAAAATATCAATAAAATTGATTGGGCAAACAGCCAGCATGTGTTTAAATCTAAAATATTCTGGTTAGAAAACACTGTTCAATCGAACCACCCTCTATATAAACCTAAACGAACATTTCACCTGATCAACAATGCATTTGTGACAAGAGTCTGCATATATGTTATTGAAATAGCGAATCACTATCGGCCACAACAGAGTTAATGTCTCAAAAGTCTATTTTTCAATCATACACTCCAAAACAACAAAAAAGTTGGTGGATCAGGATTAGAACGCGGGACCTTTGGTTCATAGGCTCGTCCATTATATTATAGTGACCATTATATTTATGACGAAATTATGTTCATTAAGAATGACAAACAACTAACAACAAGAAAGGTTTGACATATCAACTCAATTCCTGCTTCATTTTGAAGCTTGGACAATGCAGTTGTGTTTGAAATAAGATATTGTTCAAATGTCCACCACGAGCTGGTGTGTTGCCAACGACCAGTTGTTGAAAAACCCCAATGTGTTAGTGAAAAAAAAGCTAGAAAGTACTGGATCATAAAAAAATGCGCCGCACCCAACATTTTTGTCTCTGTTCATTATGTGTAATTTTAAAGGATGCATATTATACAGGGTGTTCCGGTGATCATGTTACAAACTTCTAGGGTAGATGAAACACACGAAAATAAGAAGAAAAGTTCATGTGAACATGGGTCCGGAAACGCTTCTTCAGGGAGCTAGGGCCCTTCGAAGATGACCTTCAAAAACTACTTTTCGTTCTATAGTTTCGGTACTACTGCAGCTTTCGCAACCAATTTTGGGACATAAAATCTAGTTCGTAGGTTCATCAATTTGAACCTTCCGGATTTTGTCACCTTTAACCAGGGGCCTACATACCAGGGGGGTATTTGGGTAAATTTGACCCTACTCCTCTTAGGCTTTAATTTCTTACCATTTTTATATCTGATTATGATTCTCCAATGCCTTTTACATAAAAAAGGTACTCTTGTAAAAATCGCTATCTGTCACCGTTTCCTCCGAAAATGGCTAAATCCAATCAATAATAAATTATTGGTCTTAAACCAATTATTACGTTGAAATATGTATACGCAACCTATAATAATTTCAGTCGAATGGAAAACGCTATTTCAGTGTTTAGAAGTTAGGAGTTAATGTTTCAGTTGTCTCCACCAGGTGCCGTTTGTGAATGATTCAGTATTGAGCATGGCTTGTAAATGATTTTAAAATAAAAATGCGAATATAGTTTTTCATCGAATCAAATCAATAACAAAATATTAAATATTGAATTAGGTTGTCAGTTGTCATTCTTCAGTCAGTAATAGCATCACCTACTATTCTGTGGTAGGAGTGGCATGAAAGCATATAATGTATCAATAATGTCAAAAGTCGTACCTACTTTAAATGGTGGGTAAGTCTGGATTAATGTAGTTTGGTCAAATATTGATTTATATAAGGCCAGAAAAAAGCATTAGAGGTTTCTCAAATGCCTAAATTATCCGCTAGCCGCCAGATGCAACATTTGCAACTCTTGAAAAGGCTAGTTCTAGCCGTGAATAAGCAGTGTTGGAAATACTGCGTGAGTGGTAAACACTGAAGCACCCGATCGCACCAATTTCTGATCACTATGTGGAATCATTCCGGCTGTATTCCGCCAATACCTTATACCTTGACATATATGCTCTTCTAAGTGACTTGTTGTCATAGATTGGTGCTTTCACATAGCCCCAAAGAAAATAATTCAGGGGTGTCAAATCACATGGCGGCAGCTCACAAATCCTCGTTGTGAGATGATTCAATCGTCAAACCATTCCGTCAACAAAGGGAGAGTAGCATCAGCTGTATGACACAACAATATCTTATTTCAAACATAACTGCATTCTCCAAGCTCTAAAATGAAGCAGGAATTAAGTTGATATGTCAAACCTTTCGTGTTTTATTCAAAATCAGAATCCTTTCATTCTCAATGATATACCCTATATATAACAGATATACGGTCACCAGATTCACATCTAAACTTTTAAGAACCTGCCTCCTAGACGTGAATGCAATTGGTGCCTTACCTTGCTTGACGGACACGAATCTGGCGTTCAAGGAGGCCACGAAGCTGGCCTGCGGTAGCGAGTCCTCCAGCGAGAACAGCTCGTCCTTAGTGACGGTGTTTGAGCGCGTCTTCAGCACCGCCTTGGAGCCGATCGGGCTCAGGTACTGGCCGTTCCTGTCCCTGAGCGCCAGCTGCCCGCTGTGGTACTCGGCGGTGAACAGGCAGTCTGCCGAGCACTTGTCCACCAGCTTACCTGGAATATTGTCATGTAACGTCATCAACATTCACAAGAAATTGATGAAATGTCGTTCACAAAACGGAAAAGAAACGTTAGATTTGCAATATGTGAAAGCAACGTTAGGTTTTTCATGTAACATCTTAATATCTATAACCGTTAAAACCGGTACTGGAATGATCACGAAGAACCATTGGATTTTTCATGTTATGTCACCATCATTGGATTTTTATGGATCTTCCTGTCCCTGAGCAACAGCTGCCCGCTTTGAAACTCGGCGGTGAACAGAGGCAGTCGACCAACAATATTCACCAAAAATTGATGAAATGTCGTTCACAAAACGTAAAAGGAACGTTAGATTTGCAATATGTGAAAGCAATGTTAGGTTTTTCATGTAACATCTCAACATCTATGACCGTTAAAAATCGGTACAAGAATGATCACGAAGAAACACTGGATTTTTCATGTAATGTCAACAACATTCACCAAAAATTAATGAAATGTCGTTGAAAAAACGTAGAAGGAACGTTAGATTTGCAATATGTGAAAGCAATGTTAGGTTTTTTATGTAACATCTCAACGTCTATAACCGTTAAAAATCGGTACAAGAATGATCACGAAGAAACACTGGATTTTTCATGTAATGTCAACAACATTCCCCTGAAATTGATGGAATGTCGTTCAAAAAACGTAGAAGGAACGTCAGATTTGCAATATGTGAAAGTAACGTTAGTTTCTTCATATAACATCTCAACATCTATAACCGTTGAAACCGGTACAAGAATGATCACGAAGAAACATTGGATTTTTCAATAATGTCACCATCATTGGATTTTTATATATCTTCCTGTCCCTGAGCGTCAGCTGCCCGCTGTGGTACTCGGCGGTGAACAGGCAGTCGACCTTGCACCTGTCCACCAGCTTACCTAGAATTTTTTCATGCAACGTCAACAACATTCACCAACAATTTATGAAATGTCGTTCACAAAACGTAAAAGGAACGTTAGATTTGCAAAAATGTGAAAGCAACGTTGGTTTTTTCATGTAAAGTCCCAACATCTATAACCGTTGAAACCGGTACAAGAATGATCACGAAGAAACATTGAATTCTTCATGTAATGTCACCATCATTGCATTTTTATGTATCTTCCTGTCCCTGAGCGCGAGTTGCCCGCTGTGGTACTCGGCGGTGAACAGACAGTCGGCCGAGCACTTGTCCACCAGCTTACCTGGAATATTGTCATGTAACGTCAACATCATTCACAAGAAATTGATATGTCGTTCACAAAACGTAAAAGAAACGTTAGATTTGCAATATGTGAGAGCAACGTTAGGTTTTTCATGTAACATCTTAATAACTATAACCGTTAAAACCGGTACTGGAATGATCACGAAGAACCATTGGATTTTTCATGTTATGTCACCATCATTGGATTTTTATAGATCTACCTGTCCCTGAGCAACAGCTGCCCGCTTTGAAACTCGGCGGTGAACAGAAGCAGTCGACCAACAATATTCACTGAAAATTGATGAAATGTCGTTCACAAAACGTAAAAGGAACGTTAGATTTGCAATATGTGAAAGCAATGTTAGGTTTTTCATGTAACATCTCAACATCTCTAACCGTTTGAAACCGGTACCATAATAATCCCTATACGTGAAAGACACATTGGATTATTCATGTAATTCCACCATCATTCACCGTCTAAAACTGGTACAATGTTGTTCGCAATCTCTAACAGTTGGAAACCGGTACAATAATAATCTCTATACGTGAAAGACACATTGAATTATTCATGTAATTCCACCATCATTCACTGTCTTAAACTGGTACAATGTCGTTCGCAATCTCTAACAGTTGGAAACCGGTACAATAATAATCTCTATACGTGAAAGACACATTGAATTATTCATGTAATTCCACCATCATTCACAGTCTTAAACTGGTACAATGTCGTTCGCAATACGAGAAAACAACGTCAGGTTTTTCATGTAGCATGGAAACATCTCTAACCATCGATGTTGTTGTTCACAATACGTGAAAAAAACATTCATGGATCGTCACCACCATTCACCGTTTGAAACAATTTCGTTAGTGTGGTTGGGTTCATCATGTAACGTCAAGTTACACACCACTAGAGTAAAATGTCGTTCCATACGTTGAAATAATGATTGACGTTTCATGCATTCAAAATATCAACGGCTCAACTGGAATTCTGTATATAACGTCAACAACATTAATCAAAAAATGATAGAACGTCTTTCACAATATGTGAAAAAAACGTTGAATTTTTTTATGTAACGGCACCATCATTCACCTCATAAAACAACAAAACAACGTTGTGGTTTTCATGTAATATGAAAAATCGATACATTTCTAACCGTTGAAACCAGATATAATGCCGTTCGTAATACGTGATGCCCGCCGTGGTACTCGGCGGTGAACAGGCAGTCGGCCGTGCACTTATTCAGCTTACCTGGAATTTATTCATATAACCTCAACATCCTTTATAATACGTGAAAGAAACGTTTGACGTCACCATCATTCACCGACTAAAACTTGTAAAATGTCGATTGCAGTAGATGAGTTCTCCATGTCAAGTTATCTAACAGTCAAAAACTAGTATAATGTCGTTTTCAATACGTGAAAATAACGTTGGATATCTCATGTAATATCAAAATATCTCTAAAAGTTGAAAACCGGTACAATATCGTTTGATGCGAACATGAAAACAACGTTGAGTCTTGTAAGTAATTGAAAAACTGTTATAATGTTATTTGTGATACGTGAAAAATACGTTGGGTTCTCAATGCAACGTCTAAAATGTCGTTCGCAGTGGTTGGGTTCAATATAATGTCGTTCACAATACGTGAAAATAACGTTGAGTGTTCCATGTAACGTGAAAATATTTCAAGTTATCTCAACGTTTAAAACTGGTACAATGTTGTTTGCATTACGTGAAGATAATGTTTCATGTAACATAAAAACATTTCCAAACGTTAAAAACCAGTACAACATTGTTCCTCTTTTACTGAACTATTTTATTTTCCGATTCGCTGCATGAATTATTAACAAACTAATAAGAAATATTCGAACTTACCTCCCATAGATAGATATTTATTATTGCACGTATGAATGGCATATTTTCCAGATTCATCTTGTCTGAATTCAAGTGTGAAGAGGGTGTCTTCGCCCCAAGGGATGTTGGCGTCGACATAGATTTCATCTAGATTTTCTGACAGATGCGCGAATCGCTTTCTTCCTATAGACCTATTTTTGAAAAAAGAATTCCATCAAATATTTTTCGAAGGTTGAAATATTAGTTGAGTCATGACAGTTTTAGTGACATTTTCCAACGTTTTTCCAACTTTCCAGCGCATGCGAGTCGTTTTTGTCACGTTTTTCGACGCTTTGTCAATGCTTTCAAATCGTGGTGGCCTGACAGAGTACCTCAAAAAATTATTAGAATGAACTGGCCATTTGATTTAACCAATAAAGAACATTTATTATTATTATTAGAATGAATTTCCTGAAGAAAATACATAAGCTAGTTGTACCTAAACTATTGAAAGTCGATATCACATAAAACAAATCATGAATACATGAGTGGCGTCACAACCATCTCAAATACAAAGCCGTGGTCAACTGAGTGATCGAGAAGTATTGAATTGAGGATATATTTTATGTTTCCTTATTTTTGAATGTCAAGTAAGTAATTCCAACATTTCTCAAAAGAAAATGCTGAATCATTGTTGTATTGGTTCTGTGATATTTCTGTCTAAATGTTGAGCGATATCTGTCATGTCATTTTTGAAATGAAGGAGAGGAAACGCTTTTGCTCTCTCTCCCGACTGCACGTTGTAACGAGATGTTGAATTGAACCACTGTCGAGAAAAGTGAGTACTATTTTTAGAATTATAGTAGCCAACCTAAGAGAGACGATATCAATGATCATCCTTCAAGAAACTCTCACACTATTTTTCATTAACGTACAATTATTTCAATGCCAGAAAATGAAGTAATGCCAGCTCGTTTAGCGGCAATAACGTAATGTTTGCCTGTCGCTAGTCTGTCAATAGTAGAACTTTCGGATCACGGCAATGCGGTGTTGCCAACTTCTCATCACGACTAGTAATTTGAGATAGCTGTGGCGGTGTCATCTAGGATATTGATTACTGATGAAATCTGTCCGAACCTCTTTCAATCGATGAATTACCACGCATTATGATTGGTGACGCATAAATGAGAATTGCTGCACTGTTTTTTAATATTCACTTCAGTTCCTAATGAAATTACCCATTATGTCGATGTGGTTTGAAGTTTGCATTGAAAAATCATGAGGATGTGCGAGAAAACTGAAAATATAGGATAATGCTTCCAAGATACACGGAGCTGCATCAGATAAGTACCCAGCGAGCACAGAAACATCTCAGAGATGTTAAAAGTACGAGATTTCGAGACATTGAACCTCCACTGCGATGTTCTGTTCACACATGAATAGAACTATTATAGAACAGCCAATGTCCGCCGCAGGCGGCAATTATCGAGATGTCCTTGATATGTCACAAAACTACCTTCTCCCTACCTCTTTTTAAAGCCTTTTCATGGACACAACAGAACTCAACGCGTCTTGCGCACATTAAATCGCTGTAAAAAAAACATTTTCGAGGTACTTTTCTGAAGCCTTTTGTCAAAATTAACTTTTGCATTAGGATTCCATTTCCCTTGAATGAAAAAATGCATTAAAAATAGATTGAACATAAAAATATTTTCTTGATATGAAATTACCTTCTCAATCGGTTTCTGAGTAGTGCTTACTACACACAGACATATAATTGGAAATAGGTTTCCCAATTTTTGAAATGTTCTCCACAATGCATAATTTTGCAACTGCGGAGAAGCTGTGTATTGATAAATTCGTACTTTTATATATTGATTACACTGAGGCACCGAACAACACATCTTGCATCTGATGGTCATTATTGCAAACTAAATAAGTCTTCTAACACAATAAACTTCACCAAATTCCTTTCTGTTCGTTAGCAGCGTGATGTAAGCGTGACACGCTGCAAACGCGAATGCCAATTGCGAACAAGAAGAACAAAATCGAAAACAAATCAGAATTCATCGTATTGTGACGTAAGCATGAGACGTTGTGGTGGGGCAAACAAAGAAAGGGCACAAAAGAACAAAAACAATACTTTCAATATCCTTCTAAGACCTCTTTGGGAAGTGCATATTACGCCTCAAAAAAAAATCCTCATGCCTACATTTCTAAAACATCCCAAAACATCCCAGTGATACCTCTCAGTAGGCAAACAAAGAAATGCCACAGAAGAACAAAAACAATACTTCAATATCCTTCAAAGACCTCTTTGGTCAGTGCATATTACGTCTCAAAATAACATCTTCATGCCAACATTTTCAAAGCATCCCAAAACATCCCAGGGATGTTTGTGCTCGCTGGGTACCTACTTGCGTGATACTGCAATGATTTACTTATCATGAGATCACTTCCAGAAATGAGGGTTTAATGAAGTTGCATTCAAAATCAGGTAGGTACCTACTTCCGTGATACTGCAACGGATTACTTATCATGAGATCACTTTCAGAAATGAGGGTTTAATGAAGTTGCATTCAAAATTTCTACATTTTCATGAAAAATTTTGTGTTGAAAGAATTCATCAAACTTTAATGGATATCTAGATTTCTGGAACATAACCTCAACGCAACAGGAAGCAGCAACGCCAAAGTTGAAATAGTTTAACTTCATCGCGTCAAATATTTTTCGAATTCAGCGCCACCAATCAGGTTGCATGACGTGCGACGCGTAAAGCACAAACGCTGCATCGGGAACTCACCCTAATGATGTCGTTTCAAAAGATCTCTCATGAATCCTTAAACAAACATTTCGAATCAGACATGTATTGTCTAATCTAAACTCTTGAATCCTTATACAGCAAACCCGCATAAAACCTCTCAACATACCATTGGAGTCATAATGGTATATCCTTATCAACACCCATCAGTTTTGAAACACATCAAGCCTCAGCATGACCAATAGGATACATTCCGTTTCAAATCAGTAATGTCTTTTCAGACCCCAAAAATCCTCAGAACTAACACATCTCATACAAACTTATTAGATACCATTCAGATTAGGCATGTATTTTCCAGAACTCGTGAATTCTTATACAGAAATAACGCATGAAACATCATAAATTACGAATACAGTTATAACGGTATATCCTTATCAACACTCATGAATTCTGGAACACATCTTACCTCAGCTTGACTAATAATAAGATACGTTTCATTATGGATCAGTAATTACTTATGAGGAATTTCGAATACTTGGAACCAAATATACCACATACAAACTCATTAGCAACCGATAGAATCAAGGCAGCAGTTCCCTATTAAATATCATAATTTATCGAACACTTTTCACCCTCAAAAAAACCCATGAAATACGTTTAAGATTATATATATATTGTCTTTTAAAAACTTATGATTACTCAATAATTATTTACCGCATTCAAGCTGATAAGAAACCTATAATTTTAGAACCGTCTTTTCATATTTGAGCTCATAAACCTAGGAACTAGTTGTCTTATAAACACTCATTGGACACATTTCAGATTAGGCATTCATTGTCTAATTGAAACTCGTAAATTCTCAGTTATTCTGAGTCACATGAATGCTAATAGAAATCGCATCAAATTAGATAAGGAATTCCTTAGTGAAACTCTAAAATCCTGAACTATTTTTTTCCTGACGATACCCAATAGAATTCTATTTGTGAATTTCTACACATTTCTCATATATACTAAGGCGCATGAATGTTCATAGAATACTTTTCCAATTGGAAGTGGAATATCTTATTGGTGGTCATAGGCTCCTCAAACCACTTGTGCCTGATAAAAACTCTCATACTCCATATTTGTATACGCTTATAAATCACATATACTTATGCAATATCATTAAACCTTTTAGAAAGTTCATGTGCCAGAGATAATGTACTCATACGTTACAGAACTCGGTTATATATCCTTATTAATACTCATATTTTATCTATATTTCTTTATGAGACTTCATAAGGTATTTTTGGCAGGGATCAGTGGTCTCGCCCATTCTATCCACCAAGCACTCACCTGAGGTTCACCTGCGGCCTGGCGGCCAGGTGCACGTGCCACAACTCCGAGTCTCCCGGCACCTTGGCCGTGCACGTGAGTTTGTCGGCCGACGAGCCGAGGAAGTAGCCTCTGACGACGTTGCGGAAGGCCCATCGGCCCGTCCCGTCCTCGGCCACGCTGATCTGGAACTTGGCCCCGGGGTCCTTTTCTTCACCCTCGCACATGACGTTGCCGAACGAGTCCACGGAGAGGTACTTGCCGAGGTGCGATCGGAGGTAGATGAGGCCTAAGAAACAACCGTATGACAATTATTATAGAATTTATGGTTGCCGACTAGCCTGGCGGACCGTTAGTGTCATGTGACTGATTGTAATATCCTGGGATATAGAAAGAAAATGCAACACCTGGTACATTGATTTTATGAGAATTATTATTGAATAAATTTGTTGAAGAATTAGATCAAGGATTTCCATAGCTAAACAATTTGAATTATCGACCCAATAAAATAATATAAAGATGCAAGTTCAGCAAAAACTGTTGTTTAATTTTGGTAGCTACGGCTGACGCAATGCTGCTACAAAAAATTGTCGAGATTGAAAAACGAAAAATAACTGGGACAGTCAGCGACCAGATTTTGGGCAAATCAGGTCGGTCCGGCGAAGAGAATCGCGAAGTGGTCGCGTTAGAAAAAAGAGTCATTTTTAAGTATCGGGGTAGTTTTCGTTCGTGTTGAATCCGGGAGTGTCTCGAGATCCAAAGAAAAAAACTGAGACGACGACGTCGCAGAATCGGTAAGTCTTTTGACATTTTCGTGACTAATACTGTGGGGTTGCATTTGATTTTCTGATCCCATATTCTTTTATGTGTACTATCTACCAGTACTGTATGTACGTTGCCACCCTACACCGGGTAGTTTTGGTTACTGGTACATATAAACGGCGTCTGGCCCTTTTCTCGGTGCAATTGATAGCAAAATTTGAATATCAAGATATCGTAGACTCGCACGTTTATATTGGCCAGAAAACAATTGGAATTTCACCATTCTTTACTGCCCGGTATTAGAATTAGTTCAAAGTCACTCTAGCTCTTTGTACGATGCGTGTAGCATAAGAAGATTTTTTTTTTCTATCTTTTTGTCTCCCAATTAAGCTACTTAACTCTGAATAACTTGCCTACTTTCGTTCCATATTTTTTTAATAAACTTGGAAAATTTCATTCAGTTGTTTCACTCAGAAATCAAACCCGTGAAAAGAAATATCAGCCATTAGCGGCGAGTGTACACTACCGTAACTGCTAAGGAGTATCACCTGATTTTTTTTGACCACCCATAAACTCTCCCCCCATAGTGATCCTGAAAAGACCCCTTTAATCATTCATAGGGGGCACGAATCCACTACAGCCCTTAGGACGCAGGAAGCCGAAGCCGTAGCCTTATCTGGGAGCTGGAGGGTAGCAGATTGGTACATCACCCTCGTGGTAAAGGAGCCCCTCTGTATATTTCGTTTGGTGACGGCTTTGTCATTTCGTTTGGTGACGGCGTAAGTATTACATGATCACAATGACAAATACAAATGGTTTCGACCGGTCGCCTGTATACAAAAACCTCAAAAACTATAAACTCCACTGATTAATCGATACAATATCAAAAATAATACATAATATGACATTTTAGAAAGCAGATTCGTTCTGACATATTTTGTAGATGGAATAATCTTTTTGATTGATCAGTTTGGGGCAGTTTTCCTGGCCAAATTTAGAAAACATATTATATGTAATGTAAATATCAACTTTTGTTACAATATAAGCAGGTCGACTTATTCGAAGACTGTAGATGCCATAGACACTTTTCGAAAAACATTCCCGAACGGTAATGAAGGGGGCTCAATCAAAATTATTACAGGAACGAATGAACTTAGGTAGTAGAAGGTAGTTTCGAATTAGGGCAGTAAATATTGTGTTTATTGTTCACAACTCGGCCCCGGGGTCCTTCTCTTCCCCCTCGCACATCACTGACCGGTCGTAGTGTTACGTGACTATAAGCAGGTTGAGTTACTTATTTTGAGGCTGTTTATGCCCTTGCGACTTGTTTTCAAGTGGGGGCAACCGATTGGCATTCATAAACTCTCCTAATGTAGTTCAAACATTACCCCGGTTATGAAGGGCAATCAAAATTATTACATGAACGAATGAACTTAGGTAGTAGAAGGTCGTTTCGAATTAGGGCAGTAAATATTGTGTTTATAGTGTTTACAAGGCCTATATAGAATTTTGTAATGGACACTGATCTGGAACTTGCCCCCAGGGTCCTTTCCTTTCCCCTCGCACATCACGTTGCCGAACGAGTCTACGGAGAGGTACTTGCCGAGGTGCGATCGAAGGTAGATATGATGGTTTGATTGCCGACCGGCCCGGCCTAAATGACCGGTTGTTAATGTTAAGTGACTATAAGCAGGTTGAGTTACCTATTTTGAAAACTGTTAATGCCCTTGCGACTTGTTTCCAAGTGGTGGCAAACGGCCGGCAATCAAAAATGCTCCTAATGTAGTTAGACCATTCCCCGCCTCGCACATCACGTTGCCGAACAAGTCCACGGAGAGGTACTTGCCGAGGTGCGATCGGAGATAAATGAGGCCTTAGAAGTGCGGAACGATAATTATAGAATTTTTGGTTCCGACTGGCCCGGCCTGAGTGACCGGTCGTTAGTGTTAAGTGACTGGTGAATCACAATGACAAATACAAAATGTTTTTGGACCAGTCGCTTGTATACAAAAACCTCAAAAATTGTAAAGTTCGCTGATGACATATTGGAAATCATCTCTTTTATGAGTAACTGAATTCCTCAAGTCATATTTTGTGGATGGAATAATCAGTTTGAACTATATACTAGAAATAATACACACATTTCACAACTGGATAGCGGTTTTTGGAACGCCTTACTTTATAACTATTGATGTAATGTTACTTGACGAGGTGTGATCGGAGGTATATGAGGCCTAAGGAGTGCGGAACGATAATTAAAGAATGTTTGGTTGCCGACCGGCCCGGCCTGATACTGACCGGTCGTTAGTGTTACGTGACTATCGAAGGCTTTTTATGCCCTTGCGACTTGTTTCCAAGTGGTGGCAACCGGTCGGCAATCAGCAACTCTCCTAATGTAGTTGAACATTTCCCACCGACAATGAAGGAGACTCAATAAAGATTATTACGAGAAAGAATGCACTTCGGAAGTAGAAAGTCATTTTGAACTAGGACAGCAACTATTGTGCTTATAGTGTTTACAAGGAATAGATAAAATCATATGATGGAAGTTGCGGCAGGCCCACCAGCCCGTCCCGTCCTCGGCCATGCTGATTTGGAACGTGGTCTCAGGGTCCTTCCCTTCCTCCTCGCACCTCACGTTGCCAAACGAGTCCACGGAGAGGTACTTGCCGAGGTACGAGCGGAGGTAGCTTAGGCCTAAGAAGCAACCGTACGACAAACGATAATATAGTTGGATCATTTGATACCGGATGATAGATTGGGATATTGTAACCTACAAGAATAAGCAAGAGAGAATGATTTTTCCACATACATTGTTGGTTAACTCGCATTGAAAATCCTAAGACACTGAATGGATCGATCACAAAACTATTACGACACCGAATGCACTTAGGAGGTGGAAGGTCGTTTTGAATTAGGACAGTGAATATTTTTAGATACATGAACTCGAAATATCTTCATCAATGGACACTGGCACACTATATTGTCACGATAAAATGCGGTTCATGTCACGTAATTTCGAACCATGAGGGTTTCATAAACATTACGTTAATCAAATCATCCGTTGACATTGAACTATGAAATCTGACCGAGGAACTCTCAAGAGAAACGTACTGCTAGTCCAATATTATCGTGAATGTTCGTGGATACAATTTTTCAGAAACTTTTTGTATATGTAAATAAATATTAAAGCAGGCCTGCCACTGCAGTATATGGTAGTGAGTACATTACTACCCTACTAAACACAGCCGAAGACTCTGAAAGAGAGCTGATGGGCGGTGCCTGAAAAGGATGTTAGCCAGCTCTCTTGAGGGAACCACATCAGTCATTGAAAACACCTTGGGGCTTGCAAAAAGGTCCCATTAGGAACTAGTTGCTGACGTGCAAACATCTCCCATCAGTACCAGTACCCCTGAACTATTAGTGCCTATTCGAATATTACCTATCGCAAACTATTAAGCCAAGCAAACCCCTCCCTTCATAAATCGATATGGATGGACTAACCATCTATTTAATCGTGAAAATATTAAATTGCCCTTATTGCTTGTATTGTTGACTTGGACTCAGTCCAGAAAACTCTAATGAGAAAAATAATCTGAGATTAAGAGTAGAGCTTTCAAGGTCTCTTACTTTCTCCAGTACTGCTGGTATCTGGCTCCAACGTCCAAATCTGCTTCTTTTTCAGGGAAGTGCCGTTGGCGTTGATCTTGAAACCGAACGTCTCGGCAGTCAAGTATCTAAACTTGGAGTTGATGAGGCCGATCGTCCAGCATCCTTTCTGCTGATTTTGCGTGATGATGTCGCCACATCCGTTCAAATCGCCGCCATTCTGGTGGTCTGTGCCGTTCATGTTGGTCGGCTTTTCTGTAAAACAAAAGAAGGTTTCAGAAAAACAGTTGTTGTAAATGGAAAACTGGATAGTAAACTGATTGAAGGAGGCTAATTACATGTGGGTAACCTAGAGCTTGATGCTTCTGTTATGGTGCAGAAATCAAAGATCTTATAGTCAGAACTGTCGGGACAGAACAAGATGGCTACCAACATGCTTGCCGTGTGCTGACTGCTGATCTCCCTTAGAGATAGTTGCAGAGTGAAATTAATTACATAAATCTGACATAGGACATAGGCAAGCGCAGTATGATGGAATTATATCTTCCAGAGAAACAGGGAGGTTTTACACTACCAAATAGTCTTGGATGGAACCTCTGTTTAGTGGACAAATTCAACTCTTATTGCTGGAAAAAAGCTCTAGGCTATGGTTGATCTAGAATTTACCTGGACGACAGCCCACAAGGTGAATAAGATAACAAACTTTCACAGCTCTCTCTCTCTTTCTATCAAACCATCCTTTTGAACTCTGTATTCTGGTTATGAGATCTCTGTTCGGTACAGAATATCAACATGACGTGGTATACAGGATGCTATTGAAGTATGTGGCCAAACTACGAGGAGTGATTTTTTTGAGTGATTCTAATACGAAAAGTTGATATGAACATAGACCCGGAAATGCATAGTTGTCAAGATATAGGATAGAATATCTGGTAGAAGTCCATGTTTGCTCAAAATGGAGTGGAATTTTTCATAGAAAAGTAGGAAAACTCGAAGTTATCTTCACACTTTTTTAATGATATGCTTATTCAAGGGGATTCAAGGAGACATGTTTTGGACTTAGAAAAGTCCATCTTCAGCCAATCAAGAAGTAAATGGAGGTGAAAGATTTCTAAAAGGTTGGTGCTAAGACCCAACATGATATTATCATTGTCGAGGTTCCTCAAAATGGTTTGAACTTCGACAATGATATTATGTATTAGCACCAACCATTTAAAAATATTTCACCTCCATTAACTTCTTAATTGGGCTGAGGATAGAAACATGTTCCCTTGGATAAGCACATCATTAAAGAAGAGTGGAGATGACTGGGAGCTTTCCTCTTTTCCTATGATATAGGATAGATATTCTTGAAAAAAAAAACGATTTTCCGTAAAACTGATTATCGTTAAATCAGCTCCTCATTAATTTGAATAAAACTGAAAAATTTTCACAGAATTGAATGAAGAATTTTCGATAATCACGAAAAACTGAAGTTTTTTATCAAAAGTTCGACGACATGTATCTTGAAAACTATGCATTTCTGAACTTATTATGAACTTTTCGTCTTAGAATCACCCTGATAATCGTCCCTTGAAGTTTGGCCACATACTTGAATAACACCCTATATTTTGTCTAGCTTAGTACCAAGTATAGTAGCTTATTGGCTAACCAAAATTGTGGTATAATTTGGGGCTACTGTAGCGAAACTGAGTTAGGGTAGTATCCAACTTTCCAATTTCATCCTTTTCATTTCTGGTTTTGGGCTTATCATCACCCCACGAGTACTGCACTGGAGCTATTTACTATTTGCCTTGTGGTACCTATGTCAGTTTTTATTTAGAGCGTCGAAAAAAGTATATTCATATTTTCAAGAAATAGTCGTTCTTCGCGAGCTGAGTGAATTTGGGATTGCGTATCAGAGAGTGTCACCTACGACTATTAATTCCTTTTATACCTAGCGAAGTGTTTGCTATTGAACAGAATTTTGTGGTTTCCAACTGCGCTGAAATACGTTTATTTGAGTAGCAGTGTGCCTGATCTGTCAGGTGAGTTGATGCTAATAACATCCTTATAACAATCTTCGATATATCAATTAAGTACTGGACTCCGCTAGGTTCCTATTTTTCTTTCTTCTAATAATTGCGAATCAGTCACGCGACGAAATTAAAGTTTTATGTCAGTTTGCAGATACCTAGCAAGTTTAGGAATAATAAAACTGGTTTGTCTGACTCTGCTCGTTTCTTTGCTGCAAATATATATACAGTGTGGACCCAAATCAAAAAACCCTGAGATTTTAAAAGAGTTCCGCCGCAACTTGGCGCCCAACGTGGGGCCACATTGGATTTGTGTGAAGAAATGGGTCTGAGTAATACACCGAAGACAGGACATACGGGGGCAGTAAGAAGAAATGAAAATCTGACAAACAATAATTCGGGATCAGGTTCAACATCACCTTTTCGAGGTTTTCCACCATCACAAGGTAGGACCTTTCCTAATTATTTTCAAAATGTACCATCTGGGGAGAGGAATTTCACTGCAACAGCAAATCCAACTCAAGATGAAGCGGCTGCTGCGGCACCACCTCAACCAAATTTTGTTCCTTTTTCTGCTCCGATGCAGCCACCACCCTCATATAGTCAAACGCAACAGATGTATTATCCGCCACCAAGTCAAGAAGATTTAGTGCGATTAGTCACCACCGTAGTTTCCACAATGATGGCTCAAAGTAACAGTAATTCAAGTCCAAATAATAATACAAATAATAACCTTTTGCCAAACATGTCAATAGTGGAGGCCAGTAAGATTCTTCCAAATTTTGATAATGAATATGCATCAGTTCACCCGATAGACTTCCTACAATCTTTAGAAAATATTTTAGATGTTCAAAATTTACCATTTCAGAAAATTGCTTTCATAATTAATAGTCATTTGAATAAGTCTGCAAAAACTTGGTGGGACGCATTTGCTAACCGTTTTCAAACTTATAGAGAATTCAAACTCGCTTTTACGGAACATTTTTGGGGTGATGATAAGCAGTTAACAGTGAAACTCAAATTAGAGTCCGGAAAATACCGTGAGGGACTTTTAACAGATCATTTCAATCAGTATGTGGTACTTGCTAAGCATCTTCAACCCCCCTATACGGAATCACAATTAATTAGTATTATTGCACGCCACTATTCACCAAATATTTCAGTGTTACTTGTGGGAGTCAATGATCTATCACAAGCACTGAACAGGCTCCGGCAAGCCGACAATTTTTGCAATAATTCCGCAGTGCAAAATAGTGGTAGTTCGTGCCAGGATACAAAAAAATTTCAAAGTAATCAGATGAATAGATCCCAAAATTTTAATAAAAACTACAGTAGAAATCCCCAAAATATATCTAAATTGGAACTAGACAATGATTTTTCGGAAAACGAGCCAAGCCTTCAAGAATAAGCTCCGATTTGGAGGTAGGGCGAAATGGGGCGACAGTAATAATAAAAAATAACCCTATGGAAGAAATGACAGAGGAATGTAATTTTGATCACGAAATCCTTGATGATCGTTCACCCAGAATATGTGTGAAATTTTTTGATTTTTGGTTTTTGGCCCTAGTGGACACTGGGAGTCAAATATCTGCTATTTCGGAAGATGTGTGGAATCAATTTTCCAATTTTCATAGTGATATTCCACATTTTAAATGTACAGGTATACGAGTTGTGGGCGCATTCAAAACTAAGTTTAAAAAAGTAACTTTACAAGCTGATATTCCTTTTTCTATAAATGAAAAAAAGATCAGTCATGAATTTCTGGTAATTTCAGATTTAACATATCCCATTATTCTAGGATGCGACTTTCTACGTTTTTTCCATGTGAATATAAACTTGTCCGAGAAACATCTAGTAATAAAAATAAATGGCGAGTTTTTTGTTGTACCTGAAATTTCAGATATTCACGAATGTCCAGCCTCGTTGAATATATCTGCGTTAGTGAATAAAAACAGTAATTTTTTACCGATGTTAAATGTTGGTGATAGTCCAGGCATACATTGCAAATTTTTGAGCGTTTGTGATATCAATGTCAAAAGTGAAAATAGTTCGGATATTTGCTATACAGGGTGTCCGAACATTCAGAATAACTTATTTCGATCAATTATTTTGAAAAATAACTTGTCAAAAAATTATAAAGCTATTTTCGAGAAATTATTATTAGAATATTCATCGATTTTCTCAGACAAACCGGGTAGAACTTATATGTATACCCATTCTATCAAATTAATTGATAATACGCCATTTTTCGTAAAGCCGTATCCTATACCTGTAGCACATAGAGATGCGGTACAGAAAACTTTAATGCAAATGGAAGAGTGGGGCATAATAGAGCGTGCTCCCTCAAAATATATCTCCCCACTGATGACTACCCTTAAAAAGGACGGAAGTGTACGAGTTTGCTTGGACGCTCGTAGGCTAAATTCTGTAATGGAACCAGATTTCGAATTACCGAGGCCTATTTCGGAAATAGTTAGGTTGATGGCTGGAAAAAAATTCTTATCGAGCATCGATTTATCGCATGGTTATTGGCAGATTGGTTTGCGCAAGGAAGACCGACAGTACACAGGTTTTATGGTGGATAATAAAACCTATCGTTTTTGTGTTTTACCGTTTGGCATTCAGACAGCTGTTAGCGCATTCAGTCGAGCTATTGATACCATTTTTGGACCAGCTTATCAGGAATTTTTGGTGGCCTACTTGGACGATCTTTTGGTGATGAGTGCTAGCTTCGAAGATCACGTGGTACATCTCACTAGGGTTTTCAGCAGGCTCCGGGAAGCTGGACTTACTGTCAAACTTAGTAAGTGTCGATTTGTTCAACAGGAAATATCGTACTTGGGGTATATCGTCAACGGCGACGGAATTAGGCCAAATCCCGAACGCATCCAGGCCCTTCAGGATTATGCGAAGCCAAAGAATGTTAAACAGCTTCAGGGTTTTTTAGGGTTATGTCAATATGACAGGATGTTCTCAAAAGATTTTGCACATTTATCAGTGCCTTTGACAAATTTGCTGCGAAAAACGACTGCCTGGAGATGGACTGCTGAGCATGACCAGGCTTTCCAGAAACTCAAGGCTCTGTTGCAGGATGATGCCCTTTTATATCACCCGGATTTTTCGCGGCCCTTTTGTGTGCAAACAGATGCCAGTGACGTAGGCGTGGGAGCGATACTTTTCCAGATGATTGAGGGAAAACGTAAAGTCATAGCATACGCATCTCGTATGCTGTTAGACAGA